TCCGGCGAGGGGAACCTCCACGTCAAGACCAAGAAGATCGAGAAGCTCGAAGGCGAGGCCTACGTCAACGTCCGCAAGGGGAAGATAATACCCGGGTACGAGCTGAACTTGGTCCTATCCTACGAGGCCGTGGCCAAGGATTCCGACGGGACCTCGGTGGTTCTGAGCACCGAGGGTTCCGTCGAGGTGCCCTACATCTCCGATGAGAATGCCGGCGAGGATCCAGAGATTCGAATCACCATCAAAGACGATGGGCCAGTTGGTAAGAGGTTGAAGGAGGCGTTCATCGCCAAGGGGAAGCCCTTTGTGTTCGAGAAAATCAGGGAGTATGTTGAGGCAATGGCGAGAGGGGGCCCCGCTAAGGAGGATTTGGAAGTTAAGAAAGTCGGCTCGAAAAAAGCGGCTGTTGGATCTGGTGCTGTGGCTAGTAATGCCGCTAGCTCTGGTTCGGGCGTGAAGGAGGTGAAGAAGAAGGAGGAAAAGAAGAAAGAGGGGTTTAAGACCATAACGATGAGCGAGAAGTTTAGTTGCCGTGCTAGGGATTTGTTTGAGATCTTAATGGATGAAAATAGGTGGAAAGGATTTACACAGAGCAATGCAAGGATCAGTAAGGAGGTAGGAGGAGAATTTAGTATTTTTGATGGGTCTGTGACAGGGAAGAATCTGGAGTTGCAGGAAGGGAAGCTGATTGTTCAGCAATGGAGATTCGGGAGCTGGCCGGATGGCATTGTGTCGACGGTATGTGTAGCTGTATGCAAAGTTGTTAAATATTTGGCTATGAACTTCAAAGATTGCGCTCTTTTAGACTGACAATGGTTTTTTTTACTGTGTCTGCTTGTCTTATAATGGCGTGTTTGAATATTTGAATTGTTGAAAGATTGATCATTTAATCTGAATATGTGCTGCTTTTCTGTGTTTGTGTCAAAATGGTGTGTTTGAGTTGTTGAATGTGCAAGTGTAGGTGACATAAGAGATGATGTGCTGGCTTTATTTAGATGATTTTGGACACATTTGATACTTTAGTCTTTCGGTTATTGGCTTGTAGCTTGTAAGTGCTTTTCTGTTTTTGTGAAGATTTGTGAATTGCATTCCCTTGAGTTGTGTGCTTGGGTTAACCAACAATACTGGTCTAGTTTAGTTGAATGTATAGGCTAACATTGAATTCGTTTGGATATTTGGTTTGTCGGGTCAAATTTTCCGTCATTCGACAAAGAAGTATACTGAATTATCTTCCTTGAAAAGCTAAGATGTTGGAGTTATATTCAGCTGTGGACTACTATATTCGATGACATTTTGCCTGTTGGTGCTAAAAAGAGGAAAAAAAAGCATATCTATGAGTGTTCTTCAAATTGCAAATGTGAGAATTTGATAGCGCCCGAGCTGTACTTAAAACAGTTTGATAATGAGATGTAATCATGTAGGTGCGCCTTAGTTTCGATGAGCCTGAATCTGGGGTTACGATTGTGAAGCTCACACACACTGATGTACCTGAGGAAGACAGGTGAGTATCACTTTTTCTTGAATATCAATTTTATCTTTCCCCTATTTACGCTGCAACTCAAAGGCGAATTCCTGATGTAAATGTAGGTATGGTAATGCAACTGTTGTGGAGAATACTGAGAGGGGTTGGAGGGATCTTATATTCCAAAGGATACGAGCAGTTTTTGGCTTTGGAATATGATTTTTCTCACACATTTGTTGTCCTTCACTTTTCCATGGGTATTCAGTTTAAGAATTTGGTCATCAAACCCAAGTTTTTGGGGGTTGTTGTTTGAACTAATTGCTATATTGATGAATTTTCCAGCAAGAATCATTTGTCATGAGGACCATTGTTTTCTATTTATGTTTGATTGGAAGTGAACTAGTAGTAGTAGTAGTGCTTTTGCTACTTGTCAAACCTTCTTTTGCTTATTACCAATTGCCATATTGTTCTAGTTTATTGTGATGACATGATTTTCATTTATGTTGATTGAAAGGTTTGGTTATCTTATTAAACTTATAAAATAAAACAAAAACAATTTTTTTTTTTTTTTTTTTNNTTTTTTTTTTTTTAAATTGATCAATTAATTAGGGTTTTATTTATATAGATAGGTACATCAAATATATCATTCTCAATTTAAACATCCTAATTTAACAAAATTGGTTAAGTAAGCTTGCACAAAAGCTATGTAATAAATACATTTGTATAACTAATATAAGGATAAAACCAATATTTTAAACGTATTTGTTTTTTCATTGATTAAAATATAGTAATTACATTATTACAGAAACAATGACTTTATTGCACCAAATCTCCCTGTATTATATATGAAATTTGTGCGTTTTTCCTTGGTATTTCAAAAATTGTGTCAAACTTTCTTGTATTTAATGTTTACATGCAGACTCGCCCTTTTACGTTAACGTAAAATACTTTTTCGTTCAATTTATCATTATACCTTTGTTTTATCAATAAATTTACAATTATACCTTTGTTGTGTTTGAATTAAAATTAAAATGCCAATGATGGGGTTTGAAAGTAAGAAAAGACATCTCCGACCAGTTGGGCTACTAGGCATTTATTACGAATGTGATTCTATTTATATATGTCATAATGTACAACATAAATATCTTAATAATTAATTATATATATTCTAAATACTGTAAT